CTCGACCACCGAGCTTGCCGGGGTCGGCTGGCTGGTCCGAGTCAAATGAAGCAGCGGGTACCGTGAACTATTTTCAAGATGTATTTTTTGCGTTGGGGAGATGTTAATTATTTATAACGGGTTTGCCCTTACCCAACGTATATTAATAAGCACTGTATGCTCAGTGCTTGTCCGAGAGCTTGCCAAAAAAAACCTCATTTAATGTCCTTAAAGGTTACATTCAGCAGTGAAAATATCAAGCAATTCACTTACAAGACACTTTCCATTTTTCTGACCAGTCTCGTAGCTTTCATGCAAAGCAAAGGATGTTAAGCAAAGTCTAGAAGTTCTTTCCAAGTCTGGTCCGTTTTTACAGCAGGCAATAAAATATCAATGAAAGAATATACCGACACCGCTTGACACCCTGTGCACAAACCTTATCTGCTTACGAGCCTGGACTAGGCTCATTCCAAGTGTTTTCTACGTTGCATAAATCTCTCAATATTTTCCTTGCTAAATTTGTCTTTTAGGTCATGCACATGCTCTCAAATGGCTAATACTAGAAAGAAAAAATCAGTGGCGTCCATGTATATGGAACTCTTTTCGGCAAAACAAGGGATCTGTCAACCATACAGTCTCAGACACGGACGTTAGCCTAGTAATACTAGTTTTAGACCTCGGCCTTGCCAAAATTGCAGTTACATAATACATGTGTAGGCCTAGGCCTACCTCTTTGCCAAGCCACGCTAGCCGAGGCCAAGGTTGCTTGGACTTTATGTCCGGTGCATGGATGACATTTAAATCAAGACGCATTGTGCTTGTCTCTGGTAGCGCTGGACTTGACGCCAGATGCTACATCATAACAGAGCCTATCGTCGAGTCAGGCATATCGGGTGACCGTTGACTTGGCTTCGGCGAACCATGGAGGAAGGAATGGGCGAACAGACCGTACACTGTAGGCCTACTCCGTAGTCAGCAGGTCAGGCAACTTGAATGACATAATGTTACTTTGATTGACGTATTTACTGTCACCACAAAGCAAACATTTGGCAAGATGGTCGTATGCTGCATGCTTTGTTGCAAATGGTCCATTAAATTCATTCTTTCAATGACAAAAGAAAATGTTAACATCAGAAAGGCAGAACATGCAGAATGTTTGTTGTGGTTCAATGTCATTGTCAAACACTACAGAACGCACGAACGCGGCCGGGCCCTGCATGCTAGACGGTCGCAAACGCGAATGCCTAACGGATCTTTTTTGATTCAATCATCCTCGATCTCAGCATGATCATTTCTGGTCGAAGACCGCTATAACTCCGCATACAACATGTCACTTAATATCTGTTCAACAGATCCGAAGAAAAACGTCGGATGATTGAGGGCGCTAATAGCGGCTCATCGCATCTGAGGGTAAAAACGATCATTTCGATTGGCCCTGCGCAAAGGGATTATACTATACCAACGAGAACACCCAAATTTCCCGTTGTGGGATAATAAAGGGATTATACATTGCATTTTGTACAACTACAAAATTAAAATTTCTAAATATAGACAAAATGGAAAGGGAAATAAATTTCCTCCAACCAATGGAAATCCAAAACGGAGTTTGAAGACATTGTTCTTTTTCCTCCAGGAGTTTATTTTAAAAAATCCTCAGGTTTCTGGGCCTGCCCAGTAAACTCAAAATGTTTGAATAAACTCCTTTTACACATCACTAGAGACAGGTTTTGAGTCATTTTAAAATTCCAATTAATTCCTGATGGGGGTAACAATATTTGCAACACAACAAAACAACAATTTGCATACTTTAAATACTGCAACTATAGGCACAATTTTATTGGAAAAAATGTTAAAGTATTAGTCTTTATAAATAAAAATATAGTTTATGGCAATAAGTGTATATGGAAAATGGACTTATGAGTTTAACATTGAAAATGTTGAAAATCAAAGTAAATACTTGAAAACAGTGATAAGTAGGTTCAGATAAAGACCACACAAACTCATTTGTATAGAAACACTTGCAAAAGAATGAAAAATACAGCCTTTGAATTAATGAATTATTTACAAGAGCATTTTGAGTTATATCACAAAGGTTCAAGGTAAATTGTTAACCTCATGAAGTGCCAAACAGATTGATATCTTGAAATTAACCAGTTAGCTGTTATGCAAAATTTAACTTTTAAGTACAAAAAAATGCAGGTTATTATTATTATTATTATTTATTCCGCCATTCAGAACAGATACTGGTAGGGCAATATTCAACAAACATGAAAATCAATGGACTAAACAAAAGAACATTACAAATAACAGGGACAACCCACTCCAAGTTGGCCAGGAATGACAAAAGTATACTTAAACTCTAAGACCCGAAAGCTTGTCAATCCAAACTTGAAGTGGAACACTAAAAAAAACAATTAAATTGAAAAACATATAAAAGGATATAGATAAAATACACAACTGCAATAAATAAATCAGTCAATCACAGTAAGCATGAGATGGTAAACCCCAAAAGAGAGTCACAATAAACAAATTGAAACCTATAATTTAATATGCTGGAACAAGAAATTAATACATACAAAATCAACCCCCCCCCTCCAGCACATCCAAATTTTAAAAAATAATTACATTGGAAATAAATAAAAAAAATAAATTTAAAAGAAATTAGATGTAAAAGCTTAGAACACCACGGCACAAAGTATGGTGGGGCAGACAGGGATAAAACAGAACTTTTTATCTGAGTCATGTGGTCATGCATGTATTTCTTTCATGCTGTCCCAATTCAACCTACAACGCTTTGGCAAAATAATAGATTATATGGCTTACTGAACATCGAGACAGAACAACCAATTTGAAACATTTAGTCTGTGTTTATCAACTTATTCCCAGTACTATCAAGCAGAATTTCTGGTTATTGTGGAGGATATCTCTTTGCCCTCTGAAATCTCTGGCCACTGACATCGAAAACTTGAACGATGCCATCTCTGCCTGACCAGATGTCCTCCTTGTACTTCTCAAACAAGAAATGTGAAACCTTGATAGAATCACCTACAGGTATCAAGTGAGAAATGGAAAATTACCTTCCATTTGCACTTTGCTAGCACAATTCAAACCTTATGTAAGTTCATCCTTGTTGTGTTACATTTATGAAAGTCAAATCAAAGAATTATTATCTTAGGATTTCAATGCAGGAAAATAGTAAGAATTTTTATTAATTAATAAAACCACCCCATTTGCAGTTGAAAATGACCAGAATCTCACTTTGAATGAACCCCTCAACCCCTGAACAAATACCTTCCAAAGTCCTCCAATACTTTCTCCCCTTTATCCCTGCACCCCAATATGCACATATCATTGGTACTTACCAATGGGTACAGTCGTATAGTCTGATGTATTATAGGTCCAAGGAATCTCAATCGTATTCAAGCACAGTTCATTAAATCTAGTCTGGTTCCACAACTGATGTGCATGCTCAAATTCAAATGCAAATAGGCTCCACCTTCGATGGTAGTAGCTATTGAAATCCAACAAAATATTTTTGAAATTAACATTAATCTAAAAGTTTTAACATTTGATTTTGTGGCTGCCTTCCAATTTTGGAGTTATGTTTGGTGATCCTGGTTGCTGATCAAGGCTGCATATATCCTCGTACAAAATCCTTTCGCGTTTTTGTGACCCCTTTTGCAACCCCTTCCTCCACTAATTGTATGATTTCTTTGAATGTAGTTGTGGCTCCTAGTGCTTCATTAAATTTCACAACGTGCAAACAGCTTAGAAATATGAATTGAAAAGTAATCCTTTTCCATGACATATTTAGTGAAATCAATTTACATGTATATTTCAATGATTACAATGACTGACTTACGACTTCATGAGTCCAGCCCACTGCTTGTTAGCATAATCATTGATTTCTGCATGAGGTCCCCAAATTGTGATTTGATTCCGTGCATTGTACTCCAACCATTTCTGCTCCTGAAAATGATTAATAATAATCAATTTCATCAAAACTGATAGAGAACAAATATTTATTTGCATCCTGGTATCTCATAAAACAATCAGGTTTCAACTGGCTGCATACTGGCTGCATTGTCTCTTTATATTCACACCATAATCAGTGTTCTCCACAGCCTAAAATTATAGCAGGGCGGCACATAATGCGAGTGCGAAGCCATTGTGGCATGGGGTCTGGGGCCCACTGAAAGGCCCAGGGAAATTTTGGATTCTAGATGCTCTGTGGTGCAATCTGAGTTATTTCCTGGGCACTTTCTTTTGACTCCATGAATCAAATTTGCTCGTGTTGAAATGAAAGTAAGATTGTTATTGGGAGGTCATCAAAAGTTGATTTTTTTCTGGGGCATTTTCTTGTTTCACTGATCGGAACTCGCCATCGAGCCGATGGTTCAGGATACATGTACAGCGTACGTACGTGAGCGCAACACGAGTGAATAATGTACAGTCACTACCCTAATCCCAGATTTCAAAAATAACTCCTTGATCAGGTTCCAGAGACAAAATCCTATAATTCCGGTGAATTATAGTCAGTGAGCCACCTTATGTGCTAGAAAAACTACAAAATTACTTTCAAAATGTAAGCTTTTAATCTGGACTTAAGGGATCGTCAGAAGTGACAACACTTTTTCTAGTTCTGAGTTGGTTTAACTGGTTCTGAATAGCGACAATTTTTTTCTAGTATAAAAATTCAGCCGGAGCCATTGTGGCAAGCTGATTTTCTAATTGAGAATTTCTCGATTTGGAGAAAATTTGTTCATGGATAACAATTTCAGCAAATTAAAAAGTGAAACTTGTGTAAATTTTGACTCAAGTTTTCAGCTGTAGTGCGAGCAATCAGCGACTATCCCCCGTGCTTCACAGTACTGTTGACAAACCCATTACATCACATACATACACATGTACATCTCTGTTGTGCCCATGCAGTTAAGTTCGCAACGTACGTGGGAACATTGTGGGTACATTTACGGTGTATGTAATCCACAACTAGGAAAAATATACATTTAGTTTTTGGCCAATTTACAAAAAATGGGAAACTCCAAAAGTCATATTGATTAAACAAACTTTAGACGCGAACATTAATAGGACTGTTAAGTAAGAAAAAAGTATTTGGAATCACACGTACAGAATGAATTATCACACGGTATTTTGGGTTGATTTTTGGGCTCTCATTATTTCTGACAAACTATTCAAAATGTCCAAGTTCAAGATGGAAATCTAGCTGGCAAACCTTTTTTTTTCTAAATGGTTTCTGAAACAAAAGTTCTGTAGAAGAAGCTTACATTTTTGACCTTTGAAATTGTAGAAAACAGAAGAGGTAGTTTTAGAAGCAGTAGTTTTAGAAGCAAAGGAAAAGAAGTTTTATTTCAAGCCGTCTGGATTTTGGAAAAATCTGGAACTGCATGTAGGAAAGTGGCTGTATTTTCCGAGGAAAAAACGAGGTACTCGAGGTATTGGTTCTTGACGCTACAAAATGAAAATGCTATGACTGGGAGATTGAAACCAGTCCAATTTTGTGCTTTCGTACTACTGCGTCTGGCTTTGATCACAAACAGTGCGAAGTGCTTTTCTGTTTTGCTGAATAATGATGGCAAACTCATCATATTCCTTCCATAAAGTGCGTAAACTTCTTTGCATTTAGATAAACTGTGAAGATTGTGGAGAGTAGAGAAAATCCAACTGAAATAGCAGGGTGTTGAGAATTTTGGCAGGGCAGCAAAACTTTAGCGGGGCGGTCTAAACTTTTGGCAGCCAGCCCATCCTGCTAAAACCCCTCATGGAGAACACTGCATAATGTATGCAATTACCCATAACATAATATACTCCTACATACTCAAGTGAATAGTTTTTATATTCATCCACAAATATTCAACAAAACTAATTCAAGTACAGCTGAGACATGGCCTTGAACTTCAATGTAAGCTACAACTCGCAGAAGTTACAAGACTAATCAAATATCAGTCACAGTAAAAACACTAACCTTAATGGATGTGCCTAAGGCCTTGGCTGACTGAATCCAGTTGCCTAGTAACCAATGAGAATCTGTTGCTAAGAGAGTATCCATGTCCAGCAAAATATCGAGAAACTTCTCCAGACAAAGACTGGTAATGGAACAAGCAAAGATAACTAATGAATATTAAACAGGTTGTGTTCATCACTGACATAAGTAATGATAAACATACATATCAGTCTTCCAAGGAGCTTGTAACTGTTGTGCCTTTTTAATGTTTGTGTTACACTCAAACTCACTTCCTCCTACTTGCTAGTATAGACAACTTAACCACTGCACTATCACATTTCTTTTGTTTAGCTATCTGGAATAAGTCTGATACTGCAGTGGATACCACAGCGACTGTTATTGGAAATTCAATACTGACAGTGCTCCTTGAATTACATCAAGTAAATAAGTCAACAATTTTTATCTTCCTATGAAATTTATCCCAGCTTACCTGGCTAATGTTTTCTTATTCATGTGGATAAAAGTTAGGAATTCTGCATAGGTTACCATGGCGATATCCTGCAATACTTGCCGACCAATATCCACAAGGTCATATCTGAGAAGAAATTCATGATGAATATTAAAAACTGGTGTGATAAAATGTGGATGAAAAGTTTGATTTAAAGGTTCCCTCTCAACCCTTACCTTAAGTGGCCCTGGCTCAAATCCTTTGTGGTACATTAAGTGAATTAGGCTTTTCAGTCTCTATTCCACAGTGTGGATCTTCTGCAGAAAGTATCAAGTATTGTGTACTGAATACCCATCAATGTGTTGAAATCCACTAGGAGCAGAAAAGGCCACTTACACAAACTCAGAAGAGTACAATACTTTATTCTCTCCCCATACAGTCAAATCATGAAACAGTCTTTGCAAACAGAGGCACTTATATGTAAGATGGCTCTTTCTCACAAATTTTCATCATAAGTTCACCCTCCACCACCTCCACTTAAAACTCCACCTGCAGTATTTTGGAGGAACCGCAACCAAGAACCAAGAAAGGATTCCAGACCTCTCAATCAGTTATTAAATACCTGTAGAGTAGACTGGTACCAAGATCTGTGGCTGCATTTATCATGAGTGGCCATGCCTCAGCAACTTCCTTCCAATCATACCACACCTAAGACCAAAAACAGACACCCACTTAACACCTCGTTCCATGTCAAGAGGAATTCAAACTCCCATTTCCAATTTGCTTTTTCATTGTCAGTGCCATTTATGCCAGTCAGCCATGCTTAGCAAGGATCAACCAAAATGCCAAATGGTGTGAGTTGGAGGCTGCAACAGATGCATTCATTTTGTTTTCCGAGAATATCTCAGTAATTCTTGGAGCACAGGGTAGGTAATGTTTGGCAGTACTACAACAGGCATTACACTCACTATGGAGAAAAAATAGTTAGATGTAAAACAAGGAACTTACATCTGGATCAATGGTCAGTGATGGTCGCATCACTAAGGCATTACGATTATGTTCTTTAGTGTTTTCCATGGAGTTGTAGATGGTATCTTTAAGAATCCTCCAAGCTCTTTGTGTTTGCTGAGTAAACTTCCCATAACGTCTCACAGCATAAGAGTCGATCCTATCAAAAGTTAAATAAAACAACAGTTCCACAATTTCATTGGAAAAAACTACTTGCTTTGATGGCTTCAATTCACACTCAATTCGGTCAATAAAAAAATTAGCTGTTCTTCGACCATCCTCCTGAGGTCAAAGCTCTGTGTTTACTAGCCCACGTCTACATTGCATTGCGACTAACATCCAGAGCATGAAGACAGCTAAAATGCCCTTCAAAAGTGCCTTGTATCCCGAATTCCATAAATGCTGTGTCGAAATTATTAAAGTACGCCCGCAAACAATGTATTTTGCAGGAATTTCTACAAAACTCCACGCTTTCCATCAGGATTCATTGATGATCCACATACATGTTCATCTAGCACACATACTAGCACTTGCACGAAATGCATAGTAACCAAGTGCCCCTTACACATGCGCAGAAGAGCCGTGGGCGTGAAGAAGTCGCAGATAAGGCGGTGTCCGAACATTGTTTGCGCATATCCACATATTTTTAATGGAGCAAAGACCTTGAGCTAGCTCTGGACAACATAAATGACAGAATGCGGGCCGTGCTTGGAGGCCATTTTGCGAATGCACAAATGCATACTACCTCAAGAACGTAGGTCGTTAATGAATCACAACGGAAAGCATGGAGTTTTGCAGAATTTCCTGCAAAGTACATTGTTTGCGGGCATATTTAATAATTTCAACACAGCATTTATGGAATTCAGGAAACAAGGCAATTGTGAACGACATTTTGAGCTGTCTTTGTCAGGTAAAAATGAAACAAAAAACTGTTGAAAAAAATTTTGCATAGTAGGAGGACTTTCATACCCTGGATGCTAGTTGCAATGCAATGTAGACGTCGTCCAACCTAGGCTATATGTTTACTTGCTTTTACACACAAAACTAAACTACTAAGTTTTCTTTGAGTAAGCAGAACAAGTACACGTACTTCCATAATGAAGTTAAGAGAAATCTCACCATGCTGTCACATTAACAGGCTGTGTGCGCCAGGTTAAGTCATTCATGAAGCCGTACATCACATCGTTTTGCTCAATGCCTTCTGGAGTGAGACCGGTACCCACCATGGTGGAGCCAGGGAACATCCTGCTGGCAAATACTGCCTGGAATTAAACAAAACAAAATAAAGCAGGCTTGAGAAGCAGGAAAGATGACAAAGCAAGTCAGTCCAATTAACAGAATGACTACTACTGAATATTCTGATCCACAGTGAAGCACTGTGAACTTTTTGGGTCAATGTAAAGAAGAGAAAATATGAGAAAATATGAGTAGCAATATTTCGATATATTTTTCAATAATGATGTTCTCAAAGTTTCAATATTTTTCATATTTCTCGAAAATCTGATTTTTTTATATATCAATATTACCAAATAACTAACACTATTATTGATATCAATATTATCAATATCAAACCCATATCGATAATATCGATATATCGACGCTGCTTAAACTTTGCTTATATCACCAAAATTCCTTACCTTATTGACATAATCCAGCCGACCGTATAGTCCATGATTTCCTCCAAAATTGTGCAGCATACACCAGATAAATGGCTGACCATAGAACGAGTTGGTTCGGTCAAACACTGGTAAAATGTCAGATGCTAGATCCAAAATAATCAGGCGACCCTTGAGATAGCAGGATAAAAATAGAATGTGTATCACACCAAAAAATCTTACTATTATTTATTCAACTTCAACAGAAACAAAACATCACAGTATCGAGAATCAGAAAGTACCAAATAGGCAAAACAATGCAGGCAAAAAAAATATACACATGAACGCAATGCCTGTAGACATAATTTGAGAATTTCAAAATTACGTCAAACAAAATTTGTCGGTCCACTACTAACGAGCATATTCCAACTTTTTTCAATGTCTTCCTGAGACTTTTCAACCAACCAAAGGTACTGCTGTCAGATGAGCTTTTATTTGTTCCTTGAACCAGAAACCATTTGAGGTAAACAGCCAGCCTTGCATCAGCCAAATGCCCTTTGGATCAGCTGAAATGATGGTCTCATAAACTCCTCGACTTGCACTGGCAAGGTATCCAAGATCACTGGACAAATTGAAGAACAGAGAGAGACAAAATATGAATTGAATGAAACATGAACTCAATTTAGCCACATCTAATTAGTGCATCAAAATGATCCCTTACATGAAAGCATCAATGATTTGATAGTTTCTCACAAGAAGTATTTCTAGAAGCAAACTCGTTGAGAGACTGCAATCAAAGGGCTGAAGAGATCAACTGATCGAGCTCTCGTGTAATATTACAAAGGTCAAAGGTTCAAATCCCACTTCTATCAATAATCTTATACATATTAATCAATCAAACAATTTAGTTCTGGTATCAAAATGAAAAGGGTTTGAACAATGAAAATAAATTTCAGGTTTACTTTGAAACAGGGTTCATCTCATTGAACAGGTCTGCATTGTAGACATGATCAGTGCCATTAAACTCTGCCATCATCTGGAAAGAAAATAACATTGGAAACTCATTTCCAATTGTTATATGACAATACCTACATGTACTTTTATTCACTAGCATTGATAGATGTACAGCTTCAAGTATTTTGATATTACTTACTGTTTCAATAAAAGTTTTGCCAATCCTCTTGAAGAGAGGGTCAGAAGGCACCAAGAACTTAGTACTGGACATTCAAAGAGAAATAACAAAAACTATTCAACAAAAGCAATGCATTCTTTTCTTTAAGTAATCTGTAGAAATGTTTGAAACAAAATGAGCATGTCTACATTTGGATCAAACTGTAGTCTTGTCTTGAACTTACCAGCAATACTGACGATCCTTGCTGAATTTCCCCCAAATGCTACCATTGATGATATTGGCTTTGGGAAACAACCTGTGCATAAAAATGACAACAAAATAAACATCTGAGAACTGAAAAGAACTTTCACCCTTACCTACAGTACGAAGCCCTTGAAAACTCAAGAAGGAGTTCTAAAGATGTTATTAGAATGGGGAAAAAACATGTACTGCCAAGCCACAATTACATGGGGTTTTCATGCCATCGGTTTCCTATACATGAATGGAAGATATGGATGCATTAAAGAAAGTTCCTTACAGAAAACAGCAGAAATTGTTGGTTCAGAGACTCTGCAACCACATTAGGAAATGATACCACTGATCAGGCATATAATGTGCTAAAGATGGTTGAATGAGACAAACTCACACAGCAGCTGTCAATCGCAAAGAAACAACAAACCTAATGGTGGCATCAGGGACATGTCCAGCAAATGCCGGCAGGACAGGTGTCATACCCAGATCTCTCATTCTCTTCAAGATCTGATGCTGTAATTTGATCTGATTAGCATGCCAGGATGGTGTTAGAGGTCCACCCCAGCCATGGATGTTACCAATACGTGTCCTGAAAGCCAGCACAAAACAAGAGAATAAAGACCTACAGGTTAGTTCATTCAGCAAAGGTCATTTTTGTTATAAGAAACGAACAAGTTTCCCAGCCTGTTCCTTAACGAAATGGTTGATTTGGTAAACAATCCCAACATGGTAATACCAAGGCCTTGCCAGTCAGTTCCCTGTAATGATCAGGGTGGTCACTGGAGATGTACAGTGGAGTATTCTAATACCTTCTAGTCAGAGATATTACTTGAAGAAGATATTAGGAGTATGATGTCATATTTATTGTTTTTATCTCAAGCGAGTAACTGTACTTGTAGAATCAGCTTAAAACAAGCAACTTACCATGCCAAGAAAGCTGGACCTCCAAAGTGTGTATCCAGATCTTTCTGAGTGAAACCCATGTTGAGGTAGACTTTCTGCCAAATAGCTTCCTGGGCATTAAATGCTAGAGGTAAGTTAATTCCATTCATAGCCATCCAATCAATTTCTCTCTCCCATCGCGTCCAGTTCCACCAGGCAAAGGAGTAGCTGACAGTGCACACATTCTGATAATACCGAAATCTGAAAAAGAAAATGATCAACCAAGATGCATCATTTATGGTTATTTACCAATTTAAAATAGTCTTTAATTACACATGTATGAAATTCTTTTCCTGCATTTCTTTTTCACAAGTTCATTTCCAAATTCCACTCAGGGTGGTTGGGACGTGGCTTGACAAAATGAAGGGGAAAGGATAGTAAGATTTCAATATTTACCTGTTTGGACTGGTAATCTTCAGAGCTGGCTTAACCGTAGGCAGAGTGGATGGAATATTCAACTGGTTCCCAGCCCAGGAGATATGACAACCACAGTAATGTTTCAAATAATGATGAAAGCCCCATGCTGCAGCCACGCCCGTAGTACCAGTGATGCTAACCTTATTATCATGAGACTTGATCTACAATCAGAGAATTTGAATCCCAAAAAGATACCTTAGAAGAGACTATGAAACTGAGCTCGTAACAGTTTCAAAATTGTGTAAATTAATTCTGAATGTTCAATATTGCCAATCCATATTACTAAGTTCTAAACAGCTTGCCTTTACCAAACTTACATGTCGATGTACATGTACCGGTACATGTATCGACTGCTATGAACAGTCAATACAAAATACATCGTTTGCCAACAATCAGCAATGAATCGTTTAAGTTGTATACAATCATTTATACATCACTCAAAACGTGATAATTTTACCTCAAATGTGTCAAGATTTGGAGGTCCTATGGACGAGTTTACTACCACTGTGAATGCTGCGGCTTGGTCTGGAATAAGTCTCTTTATCAGAGCAGTCACAGCCTTAGCTTGGTCATCAGGACTTGTTTGGGTCTTGATGTTGTTTAATGATTCAAACTCTTCACAGAAAGAAAAGTGATGAAACACAGAATTCAAGCATGTCAAAGTAGTACCGTGTCTGAACTTCTGGTGAAATTAAACTTTTTCAAATACATTTGAATATTTTGTAAACAATGTGCCCCAACGCCAACTAAAATCACGTACACACTGAAAAGTACAGAAAGATGTAGGATTTAACAAAATTGAATAAAACAAAATAAAACAAAACTACCAATGCAACTCTATCTGGTATCATGAAGTTATTTTTCTTTCTTCATTTTCATTAAGGCCTAGGCCTATCTGTATTATCACTTCTAAAAGTTCTGCAGATATTAGAACAAGTAAAACTAGTATTCAACAACTGAATTACATCATTACATGTAGGCCTAACTACAAAACCCCCGTTGTCATTAACCCAATCAGTGCGGCCTGAGGATACCCCCAGAACTGTGGGGTCCGACGTCCGCCCCGCTCCGGTTCGTGGGAGCGGGGCGGACGTCGGACCCCACAATGTGGGGGTAGCTCTAGCCTGAGGAATTATCGTGCCTTATTTGATTACTACATCCAAGGCCAGTCACCGGGAACTCTAGCCCCACTAAAGTGGCACGGACTCTCACTCCTGCTCCATCCGTAAGGATGGGCTAGGATGGATCAGGAGTGACAGCCCGTGCCACTCTAATCTGTACGATAATGTAATGATCTACACAAACGAAAGTGAAGATATGGAAGACTTACCAAGTGCATAACAACATGCCACCAGTATTGTAATGATGGACGGTGCAAAACGTAGCAGGGACATGCTGAAACTCTGGGGAAAAAAATCCAACCTACGAACAGTCATGAAAGGTACTCGTTGTCAGCCAGTCTGAAAACTTGACAAATCTGGTCTAGTGGTTTTCCTTGTTTATTAGGAAAAGTTTTGATTAGCGCCCTCTGTTGATGCACATTCTCATTTCCATTGCACTTGTTCACCGAACAATGATTTAGAGCTGCACATTTATTTGAAAATTTCTCAAGGGCACTTGATTCAAACCACTTGGGAATAGATCATAGAGATATTTTGCTGAAAAACTCTCATCAGTACCCCATCTCGATTGTTTTAATTTTAAAAAAATTAGGATTAATAGACCACATTTCACCAAGAACACATTTTAATATAAAACTAGCCAAAATTTAGTTGCCCTCCATGTCAGGCTGATCCCCATGGGCACAAATCCCACGGAGTATAAAATTTCCTACCCTTCCCCCACGCACACTTTTTGACCAGGATATAAGCTACATGTATTAAATTACCCCCCCCACACACACACACAACCACACCCATCCACACACCCACGTAACTTTTACATGGTGAGAAAAATCAAGGCACATTGTAAAAAATATTTTGGACTTCCAAACAACCAAAATTTATTCAATAACACTCAAGAAGGGAGAACAGTTTTTAAAAAAGCTTTAAATACATTACATACACGTTATCATAAACATTACCTGACTGTCAGCCCCCCTCCCCTTTCAAATTTCTATGGCAGGCATGTACTAATTCGGTCGCATGTGAAACGATATTTTCAAAATGCTTTGAGTCCCATTTCAACATGAATCACTCTCCTGGACTGAAATTTTGACCAAATGTCCCTTGTATGAAACACTTCAATTTGCGACAGATTCTTACACATTAAAAATTTCTCCTTTTGGAGCAATTTCCAAAAATCAGTTTCGTAAAATCCTTGTGGAGACCTATTCACCTTTAGAAATTCCTTGTGGAGACCTATACACCTTTAGAAATTCCTTGTGGAGACCTATTCAACCCATTCTTCTGGGTCTCCACAAGGCACCATATTTTGGCACGGGAGAACAAAGCCATGTCTCCACAAGGATCCGGATACAAATTTCAGAATACATGTTATCCCAAAGCCCCACATCCCCGGCATAAATTTACACCACACGCCTATCCCTTGCCCTATCCTGTCTAAGTTATGTTCCCTCCAATGTAGTGGAGTTTTGGGAATCAGCAGGACTTCATGAAGACTAACTCTCTTCCTAAACCTCTTCCACTGGGGAGAGGTTCAGACTACAGCTCATAATTTGGTGTACTCACATCACAGCTAATAAGATAATACTATAAAGGAAAACGATGTCCAGGAGATCAAAAAGACACAAATCATTGACAAAAGAGCTGCTTTGGTTCCAATTAACAGCATTTAATAGTTTGCAAATAAACTACATGAAAATAACACAAATATAAACGTACACTGTATGTATAGTAAGATTTCAATTTGGTCAAACTGTTATGTTGCTTTTTTTAGAGCACACAGCTTACCCCTAAAATGTTCTTTTCAAACATTTATTTGTATAACCTTGAAGTACAACACACGCAGTCCACAAGCCTGCAGGAACACGGGGTGCTGTGGGTGTTGAAGCATTCCCTAACTTTTTTGGACTAAGGTGCTGGTGTACAAAACAGCAACCCCATTTTTGACAACGTTAAGCCACAAACATAAACTCACCAATGTCAGAGATACAGATATTTATGATTTTACAACCTCAGCACCCCCTAAGACAATGTGTTCCCACGGGCATGGCAGCCCAACCTGGTTACTGGGTTTTATGAAGAAACTGTCAAAAGTACTCATTGTGGCAAAATTAAATATTACATCTTTTGAACGATGTATTTGAGTCAAATAAGTTATTCTCGCAATGAGCAAAGTGACAGCAAAACAATTACACATCATCAGTGATTGTTAGCAAGAGTTATGCAAAACACAAAGCAAAGATGGCAAGAAAACAAGGGATACGTTGGAATTTAAACTGTTCAATGCAAGCAAAATTGTAAAAGAGTGCAGTTTCAAAACATTTCAACAAAGAATCATTGTGAGGAAGCCAGTGGGTTTTCAATGACTTTACTTTCAAGAAAAAAGGGAACAATACTCTCAACAAGTATAAATAATAATCATACAAGTTTTGTAAATTTTATGTGGTTCTGTTGTCTGCACTCTTTTGGAAAAAATTCTTAAAACCTCTTTGGGTTACAAGTTCACTGCATGTACTCCAATCTTATAAGTGTTTAGTGTCCTGTTTAATTATTCATCTTTAATAAAATCTCTTTGTGCATTTAAAAAGTAGCACATTACACTTCGCTTGATTTCAGTTTTAAATTGAAGTAACTGACAAAACTTCTTTACTCCAAAGTTAAATGTTTGTGTGACCAAAGATCTGTAATGTTACCACCAACAGATGTACGGGTGTTTATACTGGAACTCATCACAACACAAGGGCTTCCATGAATTATTAAAAAAAAAAGACTATTCAGATTGAAGCACACTTTAATCATTTTTGTTTATTAATCTACTGTCACAAATGCAGGCAATTATACACATTCTATTTACATAAATAATCACGTACATGCCCATGATTTTTCTGTTGCCAAATGGTGGTCATGCTTGTGGTGCAACAAGAGGGAACATGAGCTCAACTTTTACATTTTTTTACATTTGTTTTATTGATACAGGTAATATTTGGTGGAGGTAACATTTAGCTAAATTAAAGTTTAACATAAAAACAAAATGACTGTCAAGTTCACCCCATGCACTTTAAAACTTTTAGAAACAGTATTTTCATAACCACATTTTAAACCACTACCCTACATTCTGCACATGATGTACCAACCAAAAAGTATACATGCTTGTTATCTCTAGTATGAAACTTTCACAAATATCAACATCAAAATAAACATTTCCACTATGCATATGCGATTAAAATTGTTTGGAATACATGTCTGCCAACAATTTGTACAATATTTATACTTATGTAACAAATACATGTACATACAATGAATACACTCTTTACTTTCTGTATACACAATTTTTTTTACAACACAAACTCTTTTACTGTTCTTGAATAAATTCTCCTTAGTCAATGACTAACTGCTCAATCTGTCTCACCTTTAAATGTTCATTATCTTTATAAACAAAGCATTGTTAATGTAACCTGCCAGCAAGCCAGATAAAAAGTATAACAAAATCTGAAAGCTGGTAGTCATTTATCTTGATAATTTATGCTGAACAAAACTGCCATAAAAATGTTAAAATGTGCTTTGTTGTAGTGTGCAGGCTGAAATTGTATCAAAATTCTGTTGTAAGGCGTAGTTTGTTAGTTTGTTTTTAACAAGTGCTGAATGATGCTTCTCCAATGTAATGCCAAAATGCTGTTCCTTACAAAGGAAACAAATTGTTCACAGATTTGGGAATATTTGTCAATGGATTTTCATTTCAGCATTATATATATGTATCTTTTTTACACTGCTACAAATGTTACAATGTTATCCATACTAATGACTTGGTCAAGGAAAACGAGTACTTTTAAGACTGGCCAATTTGGTGCTTTTACAAGTTAACTTCAAATTCAAATGAAACATATCAGTAAAGCATACAGCAATCCAGCTGACAAAATGTATCTTAGACTTTCAAGAACATGTAACCCGTTTCTGGACCAAGTTAACATTTTTCCATGAGCCTCTTAATAATAAATAATATTTAACAACTTAAGGTGTTTGACATAACACAAAGCCTTATGTACAGTTACATGTAGGTTTTACAATTACTTGATAATTGTTAGTGGTATTTCTTTTAAAATATTTTCCTCTTCAGAATACATGCACTGGAATTTTAACAAGAGTCACATTTTAAATAAGCCAAAATCTTTGTGGCATCAGATAGTGGGAAGAAAAACATATCAGAGCTGAAACTGTCAGTAATTTAACCTTTGATTTTGAAGCAGAGTTCTGCTCTGATATCTTTAAGGACCACAGTCAGATGAGCATTAAAATGGCAAATATGCAACACATTGACTGAGTTTCAAAATTTGAAAACACTTATAAAAAAATTATGTACATGTGCAACCAGTAATTTCATGCTGGAATATAAAATAAATATTTTGAAGTGGCAAAAGGGACTAATTTTTTATTGTTTGATCAGGAAGTTAAATGAGTCATTAAAAATTACAAAATTATAGTTGTTTAGTTGCAAGTAGAAAAAGAAGTTGAGTGAAGAAGACATAAAAAGGTTGATG